CTCTGAGCAGTCAGCACAGAGCCCGACGCGGGGCTCAAACTCACGGACTGTGAGATCATGACCTGAGCCAAAGTCGGATGCTTAACCGACCGAGCCACCCAGGCGCCCCGAAAACATTTTTAAAGTAAGGAATTTAATCAGAGGAGAATAAGTATATTTTAAACAAAAACATGCATTCATTTCTGCTGTAACACATCACATGCATTTCTAAAAATCACAGTGCAATGCAAAATCATGTAGTAAAAACCATAGCTTACCGGAGGAATGGTGTTTAGATACACAACATTCAAAAAGTTTGTCAGTGACATGTTGAAAAGATAGGAACCTGGTAAAAACACACTTTTATGCATGTTAAATTATTAACAAAATAAACTAGCTTAAAAACTACCTGAAATTTGCTTATGGAAGTGGGTGTAAGAAGGGGCAGTGAGGTGGAAGGACCATTACCCGAAATCAGACGGAAAGTTTCAACACCAGGTTTGGAGACGTTGGGCTCATAAAACAGGGTAATCTGAGGAAGCTGGTGGATTCTTCTCGAAGGGTATGCGCGGGCGTGTTTTGTATATTCCTTCTCATCTCTCTGTGGCAGCCTGGCACGGTTCCTTCCCCTCGCCACTGCTGTTATTCTGTAACTGGCTAGTTTGTCTTGTAGGGGGCTGTCTCGTGCTCTGTGGGATGTTTACCAGTATCCACGACATGCAAGTAGCAGCTTGCCCAGTCCTGACAAAAGCGTCCCCAGACATTGCCAAACGTCCTCTGGGGTGTAAAATTGTCCTCATGTGGAACTGACCTAGAGTTTCTCACTGACAAACTTGCATATAAGCAAGTGTAAAATTTTGTGACAAATTATTTTTGTTTCAATTTTTTTTTAATGTTTGTTTTTGAGAGAGAAAGCGTGAGCAGGGGAGGGGCAGAGAGACAGAGACAAGAGACAGAATCTGAAGCAGGCTCCAGGCCCCGTGCAGTCAGCACAGAGCCTGACTTGGGGCTCGGACTCACGAGCTGTGAGATCATGACCTGAGCTGAAGTCAAACGCCCAGCCTACTGAGCCACCCAGGCACCCAATATCAATCATGTTAGGGCAAATTCACAATTTAAAAACATAGCAGAAATGACTGTTTCATTAAACTTAATGAATTTCTGATATAAATGTAAAGGAATTATTACATTTTTTTAAAAACGTAAATCTAAGCTTCATATTCCATATAATGAAAAGATGAATAAAAATAAAAGTTGAAACAAACTGTACTTTAATACCCATAGGAAGTAAACACATATGGCAAAACATTGGGAGTTAAAACTGATGTAAAGAAGACAATAGGGGGAGCCTTGGTGGCCCAGTTGGTTGAGTCTCTGACTCTTGGTTTCACCTCAGGTCATGATCTCGCAGTTTTGTGAGTTCCAGCCCCATGTCAGGCTCTGTGCTGACAGTGGGGAGCTATTTGGGATTCTCTCTCCCTCTGCCCCTTCCCTGCTTGCATTCTCTCTGTCTCTCTCAAAATAGATAAATTTTAAAAAAAA